GTTAGGTAGGTTCAGATCGTATATATATATACATACATATATATTCATATATATACATATATATACATATATATACATATATACATATATATATACATCATATATATACATATATATACATATATATACATATATACATATATATACATATATATACATATATATACATATATATACATATATACATACATATATACATACATATATACATACATACATACATACATACATACATACATACATACATACATATATATATACATACACACACACACACACATACATACAGTCTCATTCTAATAATCAAAACCTACAGTCAGTTTCATTATGTTTAGTTTCAAGTACAAAGTCTAGAAGTGGTTTCCAAGTAGAACCAAAGCTAGATAAAGTTCTTCTTTTTAATCAAAACAGTCAATTTTAGGGTTAGGGTTAAGGATCTCCATCAATTCCATCACCTTTGTCACCCACTCTTCCATTGTAGTCATAAATCTTTCTCAGTGTTAATTCAACTTTAGACTTGTTTCTTAGGTTCCCATTTATTAACACACACACCCATAACACCAATTTGAATTCACAGCTTGTTCATTTTAATTACAGTATATGTTAAGCCTTTTTCTGCTCCATTGCATGAAAGTTTTAGAGTTACGAAAAAGTTGCTGTCCCTTAAAGATATTTGCTATATATGTCAAAAAGTACAACAGCAGCAAAGAGAAGAAGGAAATGAAGGAGACAAATATAATATTGCTTTCTTGCAGAATCTCACCTGCTATTGAGCATTTAATGATTTGTAAAAAATTCTTCTCTTCAGCCAGAAACAGTGCCATGAAATAGATCTCATAGACACAAAGTTTTATTAAGCATAGTTGCCATTCAAAACATATCCTGCATTGTTAATAAAAAGGTGTTGATTTAATATTGTATACATGACCAAAACAGTGTGTCCATGTAGGACTGTTACAACTATTTTTAGCCAGGAAAACCCAATTTTGTTCATATTTCTATCTTGGGGCCTTTCATTTTTGGGCCTCACATCCATGTCCTAAAATTCCTGGAAGGCTATCTGATAGACTTGTCAAAGAATTTGAACCAGGCCAGCAGTTGTTCAGGTCTAATGTCCTTTTCCTTTTGCAGATAAATTAGCTAGACAGTTTTGCATACTTAATTATCAAACTTATCTGTTAGGAGTAGAAGGGGAGGGTTTTAATATTTTAGTAATGCATCCAAGTTCTTAGAGGGACATCTTCTACAGCACTGTGAATACATTTATACTTGTTGCTTGATATCATGTGCCTTTGTTTTCCAAAAATGTATGAAAGCTACACCAATTTGTGTACAGGTAGTCCTTGACTTACAACCATTAGTGATTGTTTAAAGTTACAATGGGATTGAAAAAAGTGACATGAGCATTTTTCATGACCATTATTGCATCCCCATAGTCATCCCCCTGATCAAAATTCAGATGCTTTGCAACTGACTCATATTTATAACAGTTCTAGAGTCCCTGGGTCATTTGCGACCTTCTGACAAGCAAAGTCAATGAGGAAACCAGATTCACTTAACAATCACGTGACTGACTTAACAACTGCAGTGATTCACTTGACGACTGTAGTAGGAAAGGTTGTAAGAAGAGGCAAAATTCACTTAACAACTGTCTCACTTAGCAATAGAAATTTTGGGCTCAATTGTGGTTGTAAGTCGAGAACTACCTGTATTGGGGTTTCTCTCTTTGTTAGTAGTTCTGAAAGTAAGTCTGTTTTCACTGTAACAGAATAAAGAAGCAGCAGTTTCCCCGTCTTGTGTGATAATTGGCTATGTTGATCAAGAAGAAACAAATCTATCATTTGATGAGTCCAGTTGACAGTTTAGCCATCATCCTGACATTTTTATATTTCTTAATTGCATTTTATCATTACGATGCTCATTTTGTAAGCCCTGCTTTATGATTTCATTTTAAACTTTGAATATTAAATAAACTTTTGTTTTATAGAACCCAACAGGATGTGTTTAAGACACATATCAGCAAATAAGGTTGTCAACAGGTGATGGATATGTAAAAACTAAGCTCAGACTGGTACATTTCTAAAGGTATTAGCCTCTTTTAATTTGTCATTTTTTATCATTTTCTATAGTTTTTCTTTTTCTTTTTAGTTTTATTGAATTGGATGAGATTATTATTTCACCACAGCAAAGAGAAGCTAATAAAGATGGCGCTTGCATGAGTGTTCCTGAAATAAAAAAAATCTGAGCTGGTTATTGAAACAGGTTTTATAACTGTAGCAGGAACTTTATATTACAGGGATAGATACAACCCAAGTCCTAATAGTATGAGAATCAAAGAATGCACATTCACTTTACCAGTGATGGCTAACCTTTTTCCGATCGCATGCCAAAAGTGGGAGCCCA